GAGTATCACCTGAGGAAAACAGAATATGCAGAAAACAAAACCAAGAAACTTCAGTTTGTCTCCAACCTATCTCACTTTATATCAAAATAAACTTCGGGAAAGATTTTATATAGTAGTATTGCATATATTGCAGCAAAAAAAATGCAGTCTCATTGTAGAATAGAAGAAATAGAAGTTTTCAGTTAAGTTACAATGTAGCTTACTGCAAGAGCGGAATTTAAAGAGATAAAGGAAAACATAAGGTATTCAATTTAGAATGCTGTGCAGAAACCACTGACTTTCTATCTTTCCTTTAAATAAGTAAACATATTTTTACATGCAAAACAAAAAGTTGTCTACTTATGAGGTAATTTTTTCCTCTTGCTACTGTGTTCCTCCTGAAATCCAGATGGATCCTCACATTATTTTTCTCAAAAACAGTTTCAATTTACTATTACTATCTAATTGCAATTCATGCCTTTTACTTCACTATATGAATAACAGGGAAAAAAAACCCCTATCTTCAGTATTTATCTTTTCCCCTCAAACTACCTCCTCCAGAAGCTCATTCAGCAGAAACACAGAATTTCTTGATGTACAAAAGGGAGATGAGTACAATATGCTTGTCTTGTTTGGATAAAAAGTTCATATAAATACAAACCCATTACTCTGAAGTCTTTATTATGGGAAGTGCAAAATCAATATACAAACGAGGTGTCTAAGCATTCTACGTAGGCTCAGAGAGGAAGAGGAAGGCCCCTCACCTAACACTCTGACTTGCTTTGTGGAGGCTTTCGAGGATACCTTCAGTCTGACTGCGTCAACGTGCTGTACAGGTAATGGGTTTGAAACTACAGAAAGTCCCATAATATTGTACGAGCAAACGAAAGAGAATGTTGGTATTTCTGTGCACTCAGCTTCTTTTGTAAGAATCTGTGAACACTGCACCCAACTCAGATGGCAAAGCACGTTGGTTTTGCCTTTAACTAGTTCCTTTAAATTGCCAACATTGCAAAAGAAAGGAGAAATAGCTCTGGGTACCCTGCACAGCAGAACCACAAGGAAAGGGAGTTCTTCTCACGTGTAGCTAACGAGTTTAGCTTAGGAAGAACTTGAGCACTTCTCCAATCCGAGCAGGAGGAGCAAAGCTCTCCTGCACTGGTACCAATTTCTATTCTCTTTGCAACAAACCCCACGCACCGCTCATGTTCCAGTCTCCTCTAAATTTCCCGTTCGTTAGCTTGCTTTTTCAGGTGGCTACATATTCTCTGCAAAGAAATGTGACTGCAAACATATTCAGTAACAGAATCAAGCACTCATTCCATGTTCTGTAATCTACTTACATTTTTATTACAGACTAATATGAAACCATCTCATATTCATACTGGAATTATTTTAATTACTCGTGAGCAAATTTAAACTGGTCTTTTATGTTTATATTTATTGCAAGCAGATTCATGTCTCCTGCTTATATATTCTACATAAGGATCCAAAATGTGACTGAATATAAACAAGTTATATTTGGTTATCTACAGAAATCAGAGTTAAAAATAGCACTGAAAAGAAACTTTACAGTAATGTATTCACACACTGACTCTTCAAATCAAATAAATGAAGTGGTATAAGATAATCTAAACATTAGATTTGAAGGCTGATTTATTTTCAAATAAATGCACCTATAATTGTACAATTAAAAATAAGTGTCAGTATTTGGTGCTGATGACTACAGACATCTTTAATGTTTAATGCACAGATAACTACCCCCAGCCCCCATATAGCAACTTTCGCAGATTCTACTTTACATTAGATCTTGAAAGGACGTTTAAAATGCGATGTGTACATAGCACAGAATTTATGTCAGAGAGAACGCAGACTAAAATTCAGTTAATTTTCGTAAGGTAAAAAAATTAAAGCTATATAAACTGATCTTTAGATTATTCTGCAAAGTAGAATCACATACTTTTCGCTTTCATTATACTTTCACAAATTTCCATTAAAGCTTTTTCTTTTTTACAGACAGTAGCAGGAGCACAATGATCCCACTGGCTTCCAAAAGAAAAGTAGTGCAGTTACTCAATTAAGCCATTTTTTTCCTTTTATGTTTGCAAGCCAGTTGGGTCATGACAAACAGGCTAAAGCAAGCAAGAAAGTAAACTGTAAGCTTTTACACTGAGTGGCTCAACAAACAATTACTGTACATGGTAAAACAAAAAAGAAGATCTTTTGCCACAAGCCACTGCAGGAATATATGAACTTCAGTGGCCACAAAGCTTGAAATACTTTCTAAGTCTTCACATACATTTGGTTAGCGCTTACCAGTTTCAAGACATTTATAGAAGCAGTTATGGAGACACTATGCTGTTAAAGCTGCAACAATTTAAACAAGGCAAGTTAGGAAGTTATATAGATTTTTTTATACTTTTCCCCTTTATTTTTCAGTACATAAAAATCTGTCTCCTTTCAGTGTCCCATCCATAATAAAGCATTCCAATTCATTTTGATCTAACTGTGACTTTTTCATCTTTGTATTGTCTGATCCATTTACAGTGCAACTCCATGTTAACACTTGTTGCAGTGGACTAGGTTTGCATGGCAATAGTAACAGGGACTGAAGCAAAAGCACATCAAGTGAAACCGAGTTGATGTTCTATGTTTTTCCATTAAACGGTCTATCTTAACAAACAAACAGTACCAAATTTAAAGGTTAAAGTATTGCTAAATCAAAGCAGAAACTCCCACTTAAATTCAAACTTTCTTTCTCCTCCAAAAATGACGTTTAACTAAAATTTCCCAAGCACTTACATAGGTATTTCAGCCTGAATAACACTGTCAATAATTCCTAAGTGCAGGGCTACATGAAGTTTGCAATGAACTGCTTTGTTAGTAGGCAGAGCAGGAATGCAGCATTTTCAAAAACAGCAAGCAAAAATCTCCTTATTTAAGGCTAAAAGATGGAACTCGGAAATGTAAGAAAGCAGGAGGCTTTGCAGAGTAAACAAGCTAGCAGTAATAGTCTAGCACTGAAGGGACAGCGATCTAATCGCCACTATCACAAATACCAACACATCGGCGGTTTGGGTGAGACTGACGGAGCAACAGACCTGTATTTCTAATTTGACATTCATTAGAACTTTAACATTCAGCCACAACTCCACTCTAAGCTAAATTTAAGTGGCCAAAACTCATAGGTATAAAAAAAGCCTTCAAAACATATACTTAAAAAAAATAGAAATGGTGTGTTAACAAATGTATGCGTAAAACAGATTTATAAATAGCTACAGTATGAAAAATATTTCAGTGCAAAGGCAATTTTAAGATTTCTAAAAAATACGTTACAAATAATTTGTTAACTACACACAAGAAATTTGTCACTGCTACTGGTATAAAATTTATACCCATATTAACTTTTTAAAAATATATACACCAGTGTTTTATGTGGGGGACGGTTCTAACTGACCAACATTCAAGTCTGCAGTGGCAAGTACATGTACACGCACCCACACCCATATGTATGTATTTCAAAATGTTACTGCCATGAGGACATTCTTTGAAACTTAAAAGTGCTACATGTTAAATGGTAAAAATACCTTCATCTGCGGTGCTCACCGTAAGACTTTTAAAAATTCTCTTATCTTTGGTATGCTGAAAACTTCACAACTCACTTTACAATCTCTGCTTGTCCCAGGGCTTTTTACTAATAGTTCACTGTTTGTTTAATGTGAAAATCGCTTGGAATATTGTGAGGAAAACATTAAAAAGTAAATCAGTACGTAAATTACTTTGCCTCTCTTTTTTTTCTTAAACATAAAAAGGGAGATATTTCTTTCCTCTGCCACCTGAGTCTATTCAAAAGACAACCAACGATGTCTTGGCCAAGTTTTTCAATAAAGGCTGCAGCTCTGATTCCCAGGATTTTGTTTTCACATTGAAATAAATTTTTAGCTAACGTCCTCCCAGAGGTATTTAATGACTATGGTTATTAACCAGTACTAACCACCAGGCTGAAACTGATTGAAATCAGGTTACTCCTTCAGATATTTTTGGACCCCAAAGTAAAACACTGGACTAAAGAAACAAGACAAGGACACAGCTAACAGTTGAATTAGTGCAAGGTAACATAAACGTAGCAGAGAAAACAGAAGTGCAAGTTGGCTGTCATTCTTAGAGTCATTCAAACACAATCCTTGCAGTCAAACTCATTTCTGTACCACAGCTACGGTTGAAGGGCTGGCAAACAGCCGTGTGCCACCTCGTGGTTTGCTTGCCGAAGTTAACAGCTGTGTGCTTTGCAGTACAGCTACCAAGCTGGTTAGCCAATATTTAACCGTACACACACAAAAAAAATCAAAATTAAGAGGATTAATCCAGATAGTAAAAGATGCTTATTTGTAAAAGCAGCCTTTCTTCTTTTAAGGAAAAAAAAGGTGTCAAAAAAAAATCTTAATTTATAACACTTTCTGCTATGCATATGTTGCAATCATGAGGATAGGAAGTGGGAACACCAGGTAATCCTCATCTGACAAATTCACAAAGATCTCTTAGGTAAAATGCTTACATTCAGTTTTTGAGTAGGTATCGAGATTGATGACATTTAGCTATTTAACAGCCAGCTTGACTTCATATAGCATGTACGTACTCTACACAAGGATTGTTTTGCCTATCTTTCTACAGAGGAAAACTAACTGAAAACCAGACATAGCCCTGATTTGGCCACTTACAAGGAAGTGAACATTAGAGAGTGTTTCTTGAAAGCAGATTTGCACAGAGGAAACACCAGTTTGTTCTACAGAAAAAAAGCAAAGAAAGAGAAAGGACAGAGGAAAATCAGAAACAGCACTTGTTAAATATGCTTTAGGAGACTTTCACTGGAGATAACTGAGGTCATTGCTTCTGGCTGAAAATTAAAACTGTTGATCTCAAAATGTAGGTCACTGACTGAAACTATGCACTTCAAGTAACAAAGAAAATGACTAAAGAGGACAGAAGCAGTAAATGCACAAAAGTCTTGACACAGGATGAAGAGAATGTTTTAGTGCTACCAGTCTCACAGTACCAGACTGTGCAGATTGTTCATTGCTCCAGTAGTTCAAAACATAAAAAGAGGTCTATTGGCCTGGAAGGGTTCATACTTCTAGCTCTTGATCCTGTTTGTCTGAACATTACCTCAGACAGCAAGAGCCAGGTATAGTTTAATATATTTCTGTGACATGTTTGTTTCCTGAAAAAAGAAATAAACAAAAATACAGTTTTTAAAGGCTTGACTTGGTGTTCTGTCATACAGACGTTTCCAAACCTGACCCACTGTAGCGGTAGCCTGCACCGGAACGGCAATGCTTATTTGAATAGCCAAAGACAGATGGAAGTACTGAATAATCAATGCCTCTCCAGTGCGTAAACATCATTTTTTTAGAATGAGAATTAGACCTTCTTGCTGGGGAATTGCTGCAGTCACTGCTCCTGTATCTTGGGCTTTTCAGACAGGCAAGAGGTGTGAATTCTGAGATGTGCTCCCGACAGTGCCTCGATGCATTCTGTTAACAGGAAAAAAAACCAAATACACAGTAAACAAATAATTTGGGCCATAAAAGTCTACAATTTGTGTTCTTTCCTAGGGCCATTGTGCCCTTGATATACTAATGCCTTTCACTAGATCACCACTCTGGCTATGTTTCATGAAAAGGTATAAACTCTCGTGTTGTTGATCAATCAACCACTTTCAACATGATTAGTTTTATATTGAGATCTACAGAACCAGACATAATTTCACATATAATCTCTAAACCTGATAATGGGCTTTTTAGAGAACAGATGAGTACACAAGGGACTGCTTTCAAGTTGAATTGTTTTAAATCAGGTATATATTTCCTTTTCCAGTCTCTCCTGGTACATCTTTTTAGCTCTGAACTTTTTTTAGTCAGGATTTCTTATGGGGAATTTAAAGACAGAACAGATTCAAGTACTTTGCCCTGTACTTCCAAAGAGAGGGAATTCTTTACAACAGGTTTGTGCTATCAGATGGAAGTTCCAGAGGTTTAATGCACTTCCTTTGTACTTCTAAGCAGTATCTGATTTTGGACTTGCTTAGGTTAACATGCAGCCTCCATACAGGCAATTTATACTACACATCCCAATACCACCTTGGTCTCATTGTCTGTTAAAATTTACCACTCCACACACAGTGGCAGAATTGGCTTTTCCACTCAGGAAATACTGAGGACTACAGTAGCTCCACGGCTGCGTGACAAGACCCTGGAACATGTACACAGACTAAAAGAAAACTAGCACAGCACTTTCCCCAATGAGTTTATCTAATTCTTCTCACTATATTGACATATAATATCCAGGTATAGAGGTATGGCTATTATGTGACAGTACTTAAGATATAAATGCATTATAAGCATGATTCAAATCTATGTTACCAGTAACTCTCTCCATGAATGCTATATGAGTCAGTTAATTCTCTCTTCTTAACCATCCCCTTCCTCCTTCCCTGCTAACAGCAACATGGTAGCAAAAAGGCCAAAATCACAAAATAAATATTAATGATGTAGCTTATAGAAGTTGGGCTGAGATTTAATACTACAATTTTAATGTCAATCACAGGCTTGAAACACTACTCTTGCATAACCCAGAGTAATCAGAAAGCTCTCTTACAACAGTTACTCTTGGAGAGGAAAGTCAGTGAACTATACCAAACTACTCACTAACAGTGAGGCCTGGGTTCTTTTAAACACACATATAGACCAAATACTAACATTAATACAGAAAAATGTACATCATCAGTGCTTTGAAAATGTCAGAGGGAGTAGTCATACACTGTATGGTAACTATTTTTCCTATTCATCCAGCTAGAAAGTGAAGCATTTTAGTCGCCATACATATTTCTAAAAAGAAAATGTTTTTTTCTACACATAGCTCCAAGGCAAACACTTTCAATCAGCCATTCCTGAAGCTACTCAAGAAAGCTGGGGTTTTCTACTACTACTTGTCTAGCAGTCTTTAAATCAAAAGCACCCCTCACTACCTTGAAGCCCTACAGCCCATACCAGCACATTACACAGCATTTCTCCTCTTCACATATTGATAACTTTGCACCCTCACTTGGTTCCTCGTGTGCTGCTTTTGGGGTCAGGAGAGCATGAAGGGACTGGCGCAAATACAGCACCCAGATGGGAATGTATTTTGAGTAGACAGTGTACCTTCTTACTTACACTTCTTTGTGTAATCAGTGGCATGGCAAGGAGATGACGTAAAGCAGAGAACTTTATTCTGCTGCTCTCGTGTTTGGAGGATTTAGGAGCTCACCATTCATGCTGTGGTCTCGGGTATTTGGCAAGGCTACCACACTTCTCTCTCTGATCCGAGGCTGCAATGCAGCTATGCACTGGTCTATACAGAACACGTTACTGTGGTAGAGACTGTCAGATACAGAGCTGCAGTCTCCTGACCCAAGGTCCCATTCATAGGTAACTCACTTGCCTTTGTATGGTTATCTTCCTCCTTTACTGTCTGCATTTGGTCTATATATGTATTCAAGAGCATGAGAGATGATGGATAAACTGCTAATGAGTGAGAAATATTTCTGACTTGATGTAATCTACACCATGGTGTAATGTGAGTACACTCTGCAATAACAACTGCAGTTCTTATAGCAGAAATGTCACACAACACCTATACATAACACAATGTATTTCTAGGACTTCAATATAAGTATATTGATTCACTGTTTTGCTTACATGAGTAAATGTCTGAGACAAAAAGATCTTACCTGTGGCATGGAACACCTCTGGCAAAAACTAGGCTCTCCAAGTAAAACATTAGCAATATCAATACAAAATCATTAAGTAAATCAAAAACTCTGGAGGAAACAGTTGATTTGTAAATAGCACAGTTCACCAATAGCAATTAATCCAAACTGGCAACACGTACAGTACTGTTACCTAGCTTTGATCTAATTATGGCTCGGAAGCTGAAAGATTTCCTTCAAGAAGTGGCCCACCGCTGTTCGCCAGTGCATTTAGGGCTGTTTTATGTCTCCTACTCTTCTGCAAGGATGAGGAAAAACAGTGAGACTCTTGCTGAATACAAGAGGGAAATGCGAATGAATTGTACCATTTGGTACAAATGCAACTATTGTAGCAAAGTTCTGTAAAAGTGACAGGTTTTCTGATAAGATTTTAAAAGGTTATGCAGTGTAAAACAAGGTTTTCATTCCTCCATCCTGAGGTTAATCCTTTGAGCCACTCTGAGGATGTTTTTAACTCCATTTCAAACTCTGTTAAAAATACGTCATTACCAAAGCACTTAACCGTACCATGACTAAGCACTGTGGGCTGTGTGTCCTGCCCCTCTGACAATAACCTGTGCCGAATGGCTGAGGTCCCGGTGATAGGAGGTTAAATTGATTTCAAATTAAGGAGTGGATGTCCCGCTTCACTACTTCCCAGAACAACTGGTACACTGAAGGCAGTGCTACACACTCAGGCAATGGAGCCAGTGCTAAGGAAGGCTTACATACAGCTTAGTCATTACACTACAGGGAGAGAGGGCAGGGGAGTTACCAGAGTAACTTCCTCCACAGGATTCAAATATTGCAACAGCAAGATCCATTTCTTTGCCTTCCATAGAAGGAACACAACAAATGACCAAGGCAACAATTTGCTGGTAACCAGTTTTTTAAGAGCCCTGTGTTCAACAGCAGCTAAGCCCATTGAGGAACAGAAGAATGATGAATTCCCAGAGAGGCTTTCCAAGGCAAAAGTACCACACTGGCTTTCCCCAAGTGCAGGAGAGGGTAGAGATCTCATAACAAGGCTGATGGGCTGATCTTGAGACTGAAGTTGGAAGTGAAGTAAAAAAACATCAGTCAGAAGCAAAGAGAAAAAGAAAAATATTTCTTAAAAAGAGATTAAAAAAACAGAGAAGTTATTTACACCTTAGAATATAAACACCTTGCATTTCAGCTACAAGATATTTGGGATTGCGGAAACACTGTCAAAGTGACAGTCACAAAAATGAAGAGAGGGTAATTTAAAGTGAATTTCTATTTTCCTTTAATAGAGCTGTGGAGCTTCTGCTATTGATGAAAGAAGAATAAAGAAAAAGGAAATATTATCAATTAATGTAAAGTGGATATATTAAAAAATATCCAATATCCTATTGCATGTTAAAAGTAAAGGCTGAAATAAAGCTCACAGCTGCACCATTTCCAGTTAAAGCACAAAATTCAGCTTGTTTCATTGAGCCAAAGAGTCACTGGGACTGCACATACAAGAAATGAGCAGATTTTTGGCTGAAATTACCAAAAGGCAACAGATTCCTCCAAAGCTTTTGCAGAATTAATGTTTTAGCCCAAGAAAGATAACAGTTCATACAGGTGTATAGATATATATATAAAAAAATACATGCACATATATATACATATACTTGTATGTACATATATGTATGTGTAGGCACATACATATATGTCTCTGTGTGTGTGTCTATATATGTATCTCTCACTGAAAAGCTCTCTCAAAAAAGCCCCACAACTATGTCTGGCATGTTTAAAAATCCCTGAATGATAATGATGGTAAATAATCACCCACCACACACTGGAGTGACTCAAATAATTGAAAAATTTAGAAGCGTAGGAATTGCTTCAAAGGCTTTACGTGATCTTATTACCTGAGGAGAACTAATTCAGTCACCTGGGAGACGGCTGCTAGTACTACATTAATCTTTTCAACTGTTCCAGAAGCCCTTTTATTACAAAGAAAGCAATACAGCTTATAGGAATGTTTTAAAGTAAGTTTAAAAAGAATTGTTTAAAAGCTCAGCTCAAACCAATCCTAAGGCACTTAAAAGCCAATTTTAGCCAGAATTTTCAATAGTGAAAAAAACTTCATGTATTTTCCCTGTGACTTAAATAATTGCTGTAAATTTTATTGACTGTATATTTTTGAAGGGGGAAAGAAGGAGGGAATGTATTTTTAAACTTAACCAGTTAAGAAATAAAGATATAAAATCTACAGTGGAAATCAACAGTCTCCTAGTATTAAGTAAAAAATCATCTTCTTGCAGACTGTAGGGAAGCCAAGATTTACTGACATTTCCGCTACTTTTATATTATATTAAATGTCATATTCTTCTGGATCTTGAGGTGTTTTCTTTCTAGAAAGAGCACAGAATTTCATAAAATGGAACATAAGGAGAGCTCAGTTTCAAAATGCCTACTGGACATAACTTATTAATAAAAATCTGCATTTCCTTTTATCACAGCAGAATGGATATATTAATATACTCTGAAGATCTCTTAAATGGTTTCCACTACCACATTTTCTGTATGACACTGGTAATATCAGCATAATCAGAATTATCACTTCTTCGCGGGGCAACTACTCCATTTACTCAGGTACAATGCAAGCACGACACACATTCACCTACACACAGACCAATGATTAAAATGGGGATCTAAGATTCTCGATGCTTTGAAACATTATGTAAAACTCAGTAACAACGGTGTCAAAAAATGGTAGTGATAGTGATGGATTGTGACAACGATTCATAGAATCGTGCAGATAAACAAACAGAAGGAGGAAAAAACTATACTAAAAAGTACTCTTCTTCAAAATATGGTTGGCATGAATCAGAAATGGAGGCAATGAGTATGGTAAATAACTTCTGATGAGAAACTTTTTACTGTCCTTTGAATGAAATTGCCAAGCATGCAGAAAGGCAGAAAAAAGTCACCTTTTGTTCCATTAGAAACTTAGACTGCTTGAAGTCTGAGAAAGCATAAAGATGGTGGACTGCTCAACAGAAAGGCACTGATGTTTAGTCTGATTTCCCCAGAAGGTTGTAGGAAGTAACCGTGCACATCATTTATGTTTAAAGCAAAGCAGCAGTTATTTAGACAAAGCAGATTGGAAGACAGGAAGAAACAAAGAAAGGGAAGAAGAAACACAGGGATATATCTGGTTAAAAGTCAAAGATTTTCTACTAAATATTAAAACAATGAATGCTGCCAGTGTTAAGCCCAAAGTCTGATTTAGAATTGATTCATTTTCCAGTACTAATATACAATGACTGTAAGAAATGCTGTAATACCTTTGTTTGGGGCCTTGTTTGCTAGCTTGTTTCTTTGCATTAACCTATCATCATTTGCTTTCTTTAGACTTTAAAATTAAGCATGCAGAACCTATACTGAGGTCGACTTCTTCCAGAAGTAGCAGATATGGCAAAGAGACATCTATTAATGATATCCAAATAGAAAGATGCTAAATGCTGATCTGCCTGGGAATGCTTTTCTGCCATTATTTATTCTTTCCTGTCCTCCTGAATTGGGGCATTTTCACAACTGTACAGTCACGGAAAGGAAAACAATGGCAAGGGGTTTTACTTTGCAGAATTTTTACCATTGCCAAAGGGGAAATTTTACTTTTCTTGGAAATAAAGTTCCTTTATTCCTTTCCTCTTAATGCAAAGTATCTTCTCAAATAAACATCAAACTGCTAGCTAATCCCTACACACACAGTTGCTGGTAATTCAGTATTTTAACCTACCAGTGGTGGCTGATGGGCTGAAAAGGGCAAGGGAATAACATAAAGTTTCAGGTTCAACGCTTCTACTGTCCTTCGCCTTCTAACATATATAATATATGAAAGTTTGTTGGGATCAAAACTGCAGGTAAAATTTTCTACTGGGGCTGCTTTCATGGCCTCAGTATAGTACCATGCAGCCCACAGGACTCAGCTTCCCTTTCAGCCTCAAGTCTGCTTACACAATTGTTTCTCCTTTTGGGCTTATCAGAAGAGAAGTAACAACAGATTTTAAAATATTCTACCCATTGGCACAGCAAGGCACATTTATGTAGAGACAATGTATCAAAACAGACAAAATGTAAGTTGAAATATAAAAGAGGAAATAATTATTAATATGAGTACGTTTTAATAGAGGTGTTTTTATAACAGGCATAGCATCAGCATAAAATAGTTTACTAAGAAAGTATTATATTGCACAGATCATACAATATGAACGTTGACATGAGTTGACTATGTATACCTTACCAGCATACTATATATTCATCACATTGATTTTAAGTAGATAATTTTTAGATTGATTCAATAATAAATACACATGCAGTTGTAGAGTCTTTTGGTAAAGGGTTGCAACTGCTTGTGCAAATTCATAATCTAAAGGGGATTTCAATAAAATCACATGCTCCCTTCCTACTTGCTTCATGTTGAGCTTAGCTTATTTTAGCTGGTTCTCCTTTTCAGATAACTACACTCAGCTTGCATGCAAAATGCTAAAGTGTCCACATTAGAGTTTCATTTATGCAGTAGAATGACTTGGTATGAAAGATAAACTTCAATTCAGGGGTGTGGGCAGTACCTCTGAATACTCCACAACAGTGGCAACAGCTGCTGTCTGGGCCAATGTAAGTGCCTTCTACCTACCCTCACCAAGATCCCAATCCCTCTACCCTTCTTATCTCAAGTCAGGAATCATGTTGAGCCATATGTCTGTCTCCCACCACCCTCACAAGCTAATTTCCCACGGTTGCTAGTAGAGAGGCACAGGGGTTGCCCCAATGTTCATGTAAATACCACTATGTAAATAACAGGCAGCTTCTTTCACCCTGCTGCTCAGAAGCAGCTGGTACAGAACCTGTGATATACACCACAGATGGGGAACTCCTGTTCTAATTTTGTCTCTAAGCTTGAAAGAGGTCTAATTATGACAGACTTGTGATACAAAAAACTAATTCTACAATGAAAAATATTGTTACCTGGATTCTTTCTGTTGCTGTAGGCCACAACTGTCTGCATAAGACCTTCTTGAGAACATCTGGAAGAAGGCTGACAGTTATGAGCAGAATTATACCCAGCCACGCAGGACCACTAGACAGCATTTGCATGAACACATAATACATCCTCTGATAATTGAGAAAAGGCCTAGGAGGAAAAAGATTAAATTGATATTACACTTCAATACACAAAATAAAGAATGGCAATGTTAAATATAAAAATTATGACACTGATTAACTACTGCATGTTCAACTTCCCAGTTTGTGGGACTTCATCCATTCCAGTCTTCTCAAAAGGAGATCTAAATATTTGCTGACAAGGGAAAACTGCTTTACTCTTGTCTTCCATGCTGTAGGAAATACCATGCTGTCCTCCCTCCCAAGCTGCCTCTCCCTTGCAAAGATAAACTAATTCACATTCTTATCCTGTTCATGCTCTTCCACCTACTCCTTATCTCACCCTAGATAATTTCCACTTTTCTTCTTGGTCTTCCACCTATTATTTTTCTTCTCTTTCCCATCACACACTCATTTGTATGTATCCTCACAATATCCATACTGAGCACACCTTTCTTCATACCTGCCAAGCTTCCCTAAACTTCTCTGATGGTTTCACATTATGCTCCCTAACCTACTCACATTTTTATTTGCCCCCACTTTCAACTGCCTTCACTTCCATGTTTCCCTCTATCTCCATGGCAGTTGTCTGGTCATTAAAATGTGATGGGAAACAGAGGCTATGCTTCCTGAGAGCAAAGATCAACGGACAGTTTGTAGCAACACTGCAGTGTAAAGCCCTCCTGCCAGTAGGGCAGTTTTCTTCTAGTTTTCAAAAATCTGATAGAAGTCTTTGCAATTTAAGAAGATAATCAAGTTAAAATACATTGCTGCATGCAAATAGTCACATCTCTAATACCAAGCAAGGCCAGCTGGAAAATATTAGCAGGGAAAAATATAACTTCTGCAGACTGTTTTCATTTTGATGCTGAAGAAACTGAGATCTGATCTTACTGAAAATAACAGAAGAGGCTACTGAATATCCAAGGAGTTGAGAGGTGGTTACTCATTTGCAAAGGACACACTGAAATACAAATCCTTACTCCAAGTTAAATGGCACCTTAACCACCATGCAACAATTAGGCTCCGCTTTCTCTCCGGTCCTCCAAAATGTTTACTTACATATACAAAGTAGAACAGTTCCAGCAAAAGAGGTTAGAAAAAATAACCTTGTAACTGGGCACCCTCTACAGGTGAGAAACATAAATTCAAGTTTCTGATGGCAATTAGGCATAGTAAGAACTTGAACCTGTTTCAACTTGACCTCCCTTCTCAAAAAAATCGGTTTTAGGTACACAGAATTTTTTAACAGAAAAACAAAGCACACTACTTTCAATTAGCTATGTCTAAGAGTTATACTAATTCTTAAAAAGCTTCTTACCAACTGTAGAACAAGTAGGTGCTCAGGCATCTACAGTAAATCTACTTTGCTAAATAAAGGGGCAAATAATGAGCTCAAACACAGGACGCCTGGTCATCCACACACCTTCAATGTTAGTGTCACTCCCTGGCCTTATTTTAGACTGCTACAGCCAGCTCCCTCCAAGACAAGCTGAGCAGATGCGTGGCCAGCCCTAAGCTGCACAGACATGACCTACTCTGTGACACTTTGCCTCAGATAGACACCCTCAGCTACTTGAAGCAACCCTTGGACTGCTTTTGACTGATATTGTGATAGCCCCATTGGCAGCCTGACATCTGATATTCATCTCTTCATAGTCTTCTGTAATAATATTTCAGCATCTATTCAGTGAAAGAAGAGCTGAGCATTCTGTAAATACCATTACTGATGTCTTTAAAATGTGACTGCTATTGGGAGTTCTGCAATACATAAAAGCTATTTTTAATTCTGTTTGGGAAAAAAAAGTGCAATATATCATGACTTCATAATAACTGTTTCTGAAATAACATTTGCAATGAAATTTACATTAGGGTTCATACCAAATAATTCCTCCCCAGAGCAGAGAAAAGACAATGTAGAATACCAGTGATCCCCAGATCATGAAGTGATTTATCCACGTCCAATAGTGTGTATCTAGTGCAAGCTGGAAAAAAAAACACAACCAAATGAGATTACATGGTGTCATTACTATCTAGCAGCAACAGAATACTCAGCAGATGAAATAAAATAAAACCCTTTGAAAAAAGGGGAGGATTCTACACAGTACTAGCTGAAAAATGTTTTTCAAAGTTTGAGCAGAGTTAAGAAGGCACAGATACCAAAATCTCTATTTAAACTATTTTAAATCTCATTTAAGTTAATACAACAAAGTATGGTCATGGAGAGAAACATATAAGTAAGCAGCAATTAGAAAACAAGCTCTAAGAAAGTTTCAGTGGACAAAATACAGCATACTTTACCTTCAATGTAACCGTGAATACAAGCACAGTAAACACCAGTGTTCCAAAGGTCCAGTTTCCAAACATCTATAAGAAATGGTCCAAAGCAGTTATAGGTAATACTGTCTACTACTTCACAAACTGTCCAGAATAAACCTCTTAAAGCTATGTATTGCTTTGTATCAGGAACTGACACTTATTTTTCACATGATCTATCCAATGCAAATTGTTTTGGTTTCTCACCCTTGTATGTACACACCTCAGATTTCATACAAACAGGAAAAAACCACAATCAACGTACTCAACCTAAAGTTCACAGGTACATTTCTTAATAAAAACAAAGTGTAGCACAGTTTACAGATCACTGAGATTTACAAACAAACTGCAGCAATTTCATTAATCTTCTTGACCATCATCTTTTCTCTGTCTCCTTCCTCTGCTGTCCTTGGTGTTCCATGATTTCTTAGGAGGTTCAACAGCGTATTATATAGATAAGTAACAGTACAAGAAAGAATGTGATAACCATCAAAGCCATGTAAGTACATCTATGCTCCACATGTATTTTAAGATAAAAACACTTGAATTGTGGTTGATTTTCTTCCCACCTGCATCATGAAATAAAAACACTTCAGGGCAGAAATTATCATTAATCCTGATGGAGGGAAGAATTGGTGGTGGTGAATATGGTCACAGAGGATTGCATGGACTGTAGCAGCTACGGGACAACCAAGTTCAGGATTCAGAGAAACGTTGGGAGAGTAAGCAACAGAGTGCAGAAAACCTTCAGCATTTTGGTCTAACTTTGATATCAAATATAATAATTGAATAGGGTCATGCCCTTGTTATAATATTTTGTGTACACTAAAAAAAATAATTAAAAAATCAGTGCACTTAAAACTGGACAAAAATCTGATCCAGGAACTTCAAATTATGCAAATGTTTACCAACTTTCTTCTTGCAGTTAATTTTTCACAAAATTCTCATGTCATATCTAGCGTCTCTTGGAGAGCCCAGTGTCAGTCTGTGCTTCTGCATACTGAACTGATGTGTCCGTATTTCCAATAAAAGCTGCTAGATTAAATACAAAAGTTGAAACAACCTTCCCCTATCTCTGTCAGGCTAGATAGAAAGCATTGGGCTGCAACCAAACCCTTTGCCTACCCCACTGTTTGGCTCAGAAAACAAGGTAATAGCACAGGGACACCAGACTCTATAAGACTGCTAATTTGGCACAGAGAAAGGTAAGCCGAGCAATATGGGATGGTGTGAGTTACAAAACCTCACAATGTCTTTTCAGTATTTACTAGCTCAAGATACAACTCATGTCTTCAGGCTGTGAATCATTCTTTTCTGTTTGTTAACATCTAGTTTATTAACAAGTATTTTTCCATGCTCTGCTCCAAGCCTATCCAAGGTTTCCACCCCTCCTGCAACTGCCATTATATCTTCCATGTTCCTATTCACTCTGCATCAAATCTTAAAATAAAAAAATCACGCTGGAAATACATATTATGATATGAGCAAGCTAGTGCCTTATTTTCTCCTTACCTTCCTTAGGTAGTTGGTCTCTGTATGTTTTTGCAACAATGTCATATCCAAAGTGGAACACCATACATAAAGCAGTACCACAAATTAATAACAACTAACAAGATGTAACTCTTTGGCATCTTAGTTTTGTTTACCAGGAAATGACTGAGGCAGGCATTTATGAAGAAAATGTCAGCAATTAAAAGTATACTTTTCTGTTATTCTAGTAACATCACTCTACAGCATGCAAACAGTTTCAAAGAAATTTCTAAGTACTGAGAAACATCCTGGGGGGGGATTATGTTTGGAAGCAAGCTTAACAGTACATAAATTTTAGTCTGACACAGGCATCAATCTAAGCGAAAGACATTGACTTTCTTCAGTTTTTACTAGTTTTGCAACAATGGTGATTAGTTCATTTCTGGAGGGAAAGAAGAATTCAAAATTTTTGCTTCAGCACCCATTTTAACAATTTGGAACCTAAACTCAGTCATCCTATATCACTGATGGTGATAACTGTTTCAAATCTTCAGATTTTTCATTGACTTTTTCCAGATGTGAGCATAATTTATATACTTGGAAATAACCATCAACACCAACTGGCATTCATGTATGTAAGAGCTCACATATGCATCTCTGAGTATTCCTGAACACTTAACATTTTCAAGTCTTTAAATCTAAAAATGCAACTCAAAATCTGTAAATTTAATAAATACACAGAAGCATGCATGCTGAATGATGATGAATTTTTCTAACCCATTCTGACACTCAAGAGTCTAATCAAACAATACATTTTACCACAAAATATTAACATGGGTATCTAGTTGTACACATACACATTCAAAATTTGGCAATCAGTCGCTAGTCTGGTTTTAGAGCTTTATCAAGAAGAATTTGATTTAATCCCTGCAACAGAAGTAGACTAAAATTTCAGAAAAGAACCCAGTCAGAATATTTGCAATACAAACCATTTACAGAATGTGTACAGGTATGAGAAGTCTAATTTTCAGGACTGAACGTATAAGCTAATGCAGAGTTTTGAACACCTAACAGAAAAAGCAGTGCTGCAGTGTACGGCTACATCTAACGGAAATTCATTCTGTCCTTAGAAAAGTTCTTTCTAACAAGTGTTTTCTTGCACTCTAAAAGCTCATTTCCCTGATAGATGTCACAAAGGTGGTATTTAACAATATTTGAATATTGCATTTCTAGCAGACGTGTATGTTACATATAGGCAACAAAATTGTGCCTAGTTTATTTTCTTTCATTTTGAGGGACTTTTCTGAAGTCATTAAAGCACTTTATAGCAAAAACTCTAATAAATTTTCTACAGCAGAGAGAGTCAGCAACAAAATGTAGGTTATAGAAAAGCACAGAACAAAACAAAATGCAAGGAAGCAAAAAGCCTACTTATTTTTTGAAGTTCACGGCTCTTTACCACACCTCATACACCTTAATGTACCTTATACTCTATGTAAGTTCTTAATATTTTAAGTATTTACAAAGTAGCAATAAAGAACATTTCTATCTCTAGATTTAAGTGATATTTTGAAATAACTATAGGAAATATTTAACTGCTCTTTAACAGTTTAATTAAAGAACAGTGAAAGATGAAATGGATATCACGACAAATCCACAATAGTCTTACCATGTGAGTGCTGGTTGTCATTAGCTGAGGATAGGAAGAGAAGCAAGTAGCAAAAAGAAAAAAAAGCACACAAATAAAACAGACCAAAATATCAATGGGTAAAATAAATAAAATGCAAAAGTTCTTAAAATTTGCATTCATGTGACTGCAAAGCAAGTAGAGATAGATTATTTTAAGCTGCCATATGTAAAAAATAGTTAAAATATTAAAAAGCTTGTTATATTTAAGCTCTTTTATGATCATTCATAACTACTCTATGAAGAGTCTCTTGATATGTTAATCAGGTATTCATTAGATGCATGTTAGGCACGAAACAGAAAAGTTACTATGTAATTCTGAAGGACTACTTGGAATTTACGGTATATATATTTCTTCTAGGTTGCATCTAGTCCTACGCCTCTGTTTACTGATACAGAATTCCTATTGGATAGTTCAGACTTTGCTAAACAGATAAGCCATCTATCTCACCGTAACTCATAAAACTGTTATCATCTCTGCTGGAAAACTCGAAGAAAACAATTAAACTATGGTCATAGCACACTCGACATTACCATAAGATATTACCTGTGATTGACTGATCAAATCCAACACTAACCTGTCCATTGCTGGTCACAATTGTGTTGTCAAACAAGAAATAGGCACCAAAGAAAAATACCACAGCATCAAACACTCCTAGAAATGTCCAATAAATAAATGCACGCCAGCGCAACAAAGCATTCTTGGCAACATCTCTGTGTAAAACAAGATACATGCATTCATTAGCAGCACGTTCAAAAGCTTAGACAAATGATGTCACTCATATTGTTTTCTGATGGAAAAGCAATTAAGAGATTGCATGCAAAACCACCACATTTCCACATTATCAACTCTCTACCACTTCACATCCACATCCTTCCTAAACCTCTCCTCTTTGTTTTCAATCTACTTTTTACTAAACCCATTTAACTGCTGCCTGTGATTCTGCTTATTTCAACTGTACAGAAAATTCTCCCATGATGCACTCATTTACTTCTCTATCTTTTTACAGAAGGTATCTTTTTTCTGGTATTTGCTGTGCATGTGATGATGCACTCAAGATTTTAAAAGTAAACACTAGAGGTCTCTGGAGACTTTGCTTTATTTCCCACGGGGTGCAGAACATTGTAACAAAACAAAATATTAATTTTATGTGGAACATGTGCTCAGAACACAGTTAAATGAAACCCTTGAATGACAGAAATGTTTACTATCAGCCAATACTTTCACCATATATACTTTAAAAACTGTCAGATGACCATATGAAGCCATTTCTCCCCACAGATTACCAATATACAGTGCAAAACCGTAGGTAGCGGCAGTAGCCTCATCTGGCCCAGAACAACTGCACTATTGCACAAACAGCTTAGCGATAGACTCTGTTAGATATCAAAAACCAAATATTTTTGAACAAATAATCTCTGCGAGCTTTGAAAAACCAAAAATTCTTCTGAATTACTAAACTGAAAAAATTTAAAATATAGAAGAGAAAATAAAAATGGGGGGGAGTTGGGTTTCAACAGTAATATCTTGTTCTCCTCTTCAATTTCATAGGTACAAACGTACCACTGCACTGATGAACCTGTGGGCATCTAATTTTGCCTCTCAAAAAATGTTTTCCCTTTGATTATCTACTGTTACTGCTCTCTAAAATGTACTGGGTTTGCAGCTACAAGAATCAAAACTGGGCACTGTTCCTCATTTAGATGGCCACATGCAGTTAATTGGCAAGAACTGTATTTCAAGTGACTAAGAATCTAAACCAGTCACAATTTCTATGCACAGAAGTGAGTCAACAACACACAGAGGACAAAGTTGGACACCACACATCCTATGATACAACACTCTACCACTCAGTCCTGTATATAGAAGAAACACACTGTTTTATCTTTTCTTAAATAAATCATATTTTTATTTGTAAAACAGCAATTTCTGGTTTGCTCTCATTCATTAATGTAGCAAATGAATGGTATGGATTGCAGTATGTAAATATACACGTGTGTCTATTGTAGCTTATGTCTATTTATGTGTGCGCTGTCTTCAATCCTTCTGTTGCCGTGTACCTGATGTTCTACTGCAACCTTGTACAGAAAACCTGAGGACTTTGGTTATAACAGAGATAGATTCCACAATTGAACAGTCAAACTTTGGGGCATAATTTATTAATTTTACCTGTATAGGGAAGGCTCTCTCTTGAGTGTGTCTGCACTGACATGCTGTTCCATTAGACCATACAAGAGGATAGGAAGGGAAGTGAAGCTGATGTTGTACAGTGTTAGATACGCAGTATCATATAAAGTCTGTAGATGGAAAAGAATTCAATCAGCTGGCTTTAATTTTAAAACACAATCCACTGCATGACACTTGGTTTCAAAGGAATGAGTCAGCTTCTTCAGAAAAACCAAAACCATGTACCTTCACAATAAAGGCAGATATCCCTGAACAGCTGCTCACTGGTGTAAGATACAACCCTGCACTTACATCCCATTCATCTGGAGGACAAAAGGCCAACTAAACCTATTTATGGTCTGGCTCCACAAATCGGCTCCTCCTATGATTTCAACTGTAAGACCAACTCCAAACTACCCAAACTAAACAACAGCGGATTCCTGTAGAGGCAGAAATTCCTCTCTGGCACATCCACCCCTGCTTTCATCACCTCCGTATCTATAGAGCATGGAGACATGCAGGGAGGAAGGGGGAGTACTCCAGAGGTTCTTCAGCTGTGAGTGACTGCCATGAGCTGTACAAAGAAACACCCCAACATTTCTCTGGTTCTTCTTCCAACTGAACTGCTTTTCCATGGATGTATCATCATTGTAACTAGCCCTCAAACTTACCACATCACCCCATAAAAAGAGTTGCTCATTTCTCTAAACCTATTTGCTGATCATTTTATGTCGTAAAAATTGCTGTCAACCACCCCATTTTTTATTCAGAATAATATTTAGCACTTAAAAAACCAGGATATTAAACTACATTTTTATCAACATGTGCATCTAAATCCTAATAATGCTTGACATAAATCTACAAAGTTTTCAATAGTCATGTGAAATTAAAACCAAAACAGTTCTGTCATTTCTACTCCTCCTGGAGCTTTCTTTCGAGACATCCCACAAATTCAAAGCAACAGTACTATTTTCTCCCAATTAAATCCTCTCTTGTCCAATTTAATCCTGAAAACTTAATCCGCTTAATCCGTCTAAGTCCAGTTATTCATTTCTTTGTTTTTCACTCCTTCATTCAGAAGAAAGAAGAGGTAGATTTTTCTGCACAAATCAGATGAAAGCAAGGGGACAAAGTAAATAAACAAAAATTTAGAAAGGTGAATACTGCATCCTCCCCAGTATTCTGGGTATGATGGTACCATATACAATGGTACTTTTCTGGCGAGGAGCAGTTCACTTTTCCTCTATCTTTCCGTGTTTATTTTTTCCTTTCAACTAATTGAATGCCACTATTTGTCTCAAGCTTGCAATTCATAACTGTACATGCCAGAGAAGTCTAGTTTATTCTTCCATTTTCATTCTGAATTCTAAAAATGAACAAGTAGTTTAATTACTTATCTTTCAGGATTGCCTCTGTCCATGTTCCATAAGTTTAAACAGTCTCTGCATTTCCCACAGACATGTCCCTTTGCATTGCCATTTCCAAATTTTGGTCTCCTGTATTTTTTGACTTTGTAAATAACATTGCTTTTATGATAATTCATGAAATTAATTTCTGAAACCTAACTGCAGTTGCCACTGAAAGCCATATGAACCAAAAGTGATGCTCTTTTTACAAGGTTAAAATAACCTAGAAATTTTCTCAACTGAACAGGCATAATGTTAAAGGATTCACTCTTTAATAAAAAAAATGCCAAAGAGGAAATGTGACAGTGAGGGAAAAAGAACAACTAACCTGTTGTGAAAACCCACAGAAGAACTGATACAAAAACTGAGGAAAAATGAAGCAGACATTCTGAAAGACAAAGTGACACAGTCATTCAGTGAAATATAAGCACTCAGTTATATGCTGTACAATGCTATAGCTATGTATATAATAGTTTTATAACACAAGTAATAGCAAACACTGCAGGAATAGTACAAACACATTAAATATCAACATTCTCATTTTTCAGTAGTATTGTTAAGAAAAACACTTCAAATATTTTCAAAGAAAACTTATAAAGGCTACAGTTTCAAAATTCAAGGGTAATGAATTTTGTGATCTAAGAGCACAGGTCACGTAAGGCAAGACAAGGCACAATCCACAGTAGGACACAAACTGTGATAAGCAAGCATGGATACTCTGGTTAGCATTGTTACCAGCAAAGTAATTTTAAGATGCTTCTAGCTGTGACCCCAAACTTCATCCTCTGCTAACTACACATACAGTGAAACACTAAGATCTTGGATTATCTTCTCAAAGTTCCTTTCTATAATCTTTCCCTGCTTACTGAAAGAACTTTGATTGGATCCCCATATTTAGATGTAACAGAACTGTCTAAATAAGAGGATGCTTGTTACAAACTTTATCCACCTATGCTACCCCAATGAATTTAGAAATCAATGTAAATTAAGTTATGCTAAATTATGCTCAAATACTATTTCCATCTTGATTTAAAAGGCCACTGTAGAGAAAATCCAGAAGGTACTGAAAATAAGTAGAACAGTCTGCATTGGAATTTGTAAGAGTGAAAAAGAGAGAAGACAAATTTTGCTTTTAAACATACCATAAATTACACAATCTACCTACATAAAAACAATAATCCCATTTCAGCTTTGCATCTGGAACTCAATGAAATCTCTTTATGGAATTATTGCTTTTTTGTACCACTGACCGCACAAACTGTAGGTAGTTAAATATTACCATGTAACTTTTTGAGATTTATGTCATTAGAATAAGCGTTGTCCTACCTTATAAAAGAAGTATTGCACAAGTTCAGATATCCTAATATAATAAAAATGCCCATGAACAAGCAACATTTTTTTCAAATGTTTAAATTTAGGTATTGCATAGTCACTGTTTCTCGCTGCTTGACGACCTTCTTTGCCAATGATTCCTTTAAAGAAAAGTGATGAAGCTGTTTAGTAACTGAAGAACTATTTCAAAGATACAATTACTTGAAAAATTATACAATAATGCTATGACACTGATGTAATAAGAGATCACCCCTGTACCTCATAATATTCCTGGGGTAAATTCACTAAGAGTTTTCTATAAAATGCATAACCTGATTCGTTGAGACTGCCTATTTTTAAGCTGTAAATGTTTTTTTGCCATTCTATTTGAGTTAATAGTCTAAAAAGCACACTTACCTATACCAACATGTGCTTCTAGAATCATACTGACATCATTTGCTCCATCACCAATTGCTAATGTGATAGGATGCTCCTTTGATAACTTAATCAATTTTACAATCTGGAAAAAAATAGTAATAGCTTGTAATAGTTTGCTTATTTTGCATGAGTGTACAATTAATTGAAAATTATCAACACAACATGGTTATATAAGAAATTCTGTGAAGGGATACAAAAGCAATATTGTGCCATGCAACTACCATGCATAAAGATCTCAGTATGAGTATCCCTCTACAGTAATCAATAATGCAGATTCTGGTAGTATCAACAGATAGTAGACTATTCAAAGCTCTTTAGGTTAAACCAGAAGTAATTAGTTCAGCTTATTAAATAAGTTCATTTATCAGCATGTATCAACCATAACATCAACCATTTCCTTTTCCAGGGGAAAGGGACCTGGGGGTCCTGGTGGACAGCAGGATGACCATGAGCCAGCACTGTGCCCTTTTGGCCAAGAAGGTCAATGGCATCCTGGGGTGTATCAGGAGGGGGGTGGTTAGTAGGTTGAGAGAGGTTCTCCTCCCTCTCTACTCTGCCCTGGTGAGACTGCATCTGGAATATTGTGTCCAGTTCTGGGCCCCTCAGTTCAAGAGGGACAGGGAACTGCTGGAGAGAGTCCAGCGTAGGGCTACAAAGATGATTAAGGGAGTGGAGCATCTGCCTTATGTGGAAAGGCTGAGGGAGCTGGGTCTCTTTAGTTTGCAGAAGAGGAGACTGAGGGGAGACCTCATTAACGTTTATAAATATATAAAGGGTGAGTGTCACGAGGATGGAGCCAGGCTCTTCTTGGTGACAAACAATGATAAGACAAGGGGTAACGGACACAAACTGGAACACAAGAGGTTCCACTTAAGAAACTTCTTCTCAGTGAGGGTGACAGAGCACTGGAACAGGCTGCCCAGAGAGGTTGTGGAGTCTCCTTCTCTGGAGACATTCAAAACCCGCCTGGACGCCTTCCTGTGCAACCTCATCTAGGTGTTCCTGCTCCGGCAGGGGGATTGGACTGGATGATCTTTTGAGGTCCCTTCCAATCCCTAACGTTCTGTGATTCTGTGATAAAATTTGCACAATATGTACATAAATCAAATTCAGGTGCACAGCTGGGTGCCATCTTAGCATACCATTATCTGAATTGCTTGCCAGTAGAAGTTTTCCCCTCTACCTCCTTTGAAAAGAAAATCTTCCATTTTAGAGGTTATAAAAGTGAATGGCAACATTTTAAGTTACCCTAATAAGTCATATAGAATATTAACTTTCAATATTTACATATGTGCAGAGCTAACAAACAATTACAAAATGAAATACAAACCTGTGCTTTTTGCAAAGGTGCCATTCGACAGCATAACACTGCACTGCAGTTTCTGCAAATTTCAAGAAAGAGCTCTCTGTAGTTACTAGAGCTCCCATCTTGTCTTGGTTTCATTATTAATGATAATGCTGCTCCATCAATAATTAAACCATAATCTTGCATATCAGTTGAAAGTCTGTTCAGGGATAAAATATAAACTAAGAGTCACTGTAAAATTTGGCAACAGTTCTTTTGTGAATTTAGTTAATGAAAAACAATGAGCAATGAATACTGCAAAATTAATATACTTCTAAAGGAAATTCACTGTATAGGTCTGCTATTTATGACATTCTAAAATTCTAGATTACGTTGACAATATTCAGTTCTTCATCAGTCCAAAGACAGAAATCTGATACCTCAGAGGCTTCACCAGTGAGTATGAGTGTACAATTAATGACCTTTCCGTTTCATTTGAAAAGGCTCCAAGAACTGCAATGAGGTAAACTGACCAGGGGAAGAAAGTTAATTCTGTGGCATATTCCAGAATATAGAGAAAGCAGTTAAAGGGAAAGCCCCTTGGTACTCTGAAATCTACTCTGATGAAGAAAATAACCTTGTTTTTCATGGGTCTACATTTAAGGAAGTAAACCGTGCTTTGAAGGAAATGCCTAAAAGAGATTTGTTGGTGAGGTAAGCCCACTGCCTACATTTACAGTATGCATACTTTGCACTTAGTGTGGTGGCTAAGTCCAATACAGGCATACCTGTAATTATAATATAATAATTATATATGTTATCTCTAATAATACAATATATAATTACATATATTAACCTATTGCCGGTATACCTGTAATAATTTGAGCATTGCTAGAAGTGCAACTGTGGTCACACGAAGCCTAGTTTTCCACAATAACATGTCCTGAACAGTGGGGAAAGATGGTCTACACTGAGTGTTGCACTACAAGAGCAGTTTTCTGTAGCACCCAGCCTGGCTATTTCACAGCACCCTTGCATTTGCCGGCATTACACAGCAGCCTCAGGCTCCAGCTCAGCAGTGAGTGTTGTCTAAACAAACACCGAGGTTTGTCTGTGCTCTAGTTTCAGTGCTCCAAGGTTATACTACTGTGCATGGGTTTTCAACAAACATGGTTTCACCAGGACCAGTGTTTGTGAGGAAAACACCGTATTTATAAATATTAATGTATCTTGAGCATTTCCATCTTCAGTATTAGAACACAAACTATTTTTGACAAATAATATAAATCACTGTAAACTACTGTAAACTATATTTAATAACAGTTCACAGATATTTTCAGCACTTTGTTACCATTGGCACAAGTAGGGCAACACCATTAGTATACAATGATATCAACCAAAAAAGTACTATTATGAAGTTCAGGCAATGTCCTGAATGTTTGATGTATTATAGTGAAAGATTTTCAGCCTGAATTTGAAACCTGCTATTACTGTCTTGGCACATTCTCCATCTCTGGAGCCAGACACACAAAATCCTGATGAGTCTTACTGTCTAGAAAATTGACATGGCACAAAAAATGTAATATATTTAAACATACCTTGTAAGATCTGTAGAACTTAAACTAAATGTAGTACAAATGACATAGAGAAATATGATTTAACCACATACACAAATGTTCTTGATTAGATCAATGGGGTTTAAGGTGTAAGAGAGCTAAGAAAAATGCTCTCGCCCAGAGTTTCAAGCTGTAAAGCTAAGACTTAGAGAAACTCTTTGCTAAAATAATATCACAAATGCTTGTTAGCTTGTTGTTCCTTTACTACAAACTTATGACAAATGCATATTAAAATATACTTCCTAGCTGTTTCTATATTAAAAAGAAAAACAAATCAAATATGCACCATTATGTCCGGAAGACCAGTAACTTCTTTTCATAACATCTTAAGATGATAAAAATGTTACAGAATCCAATTCTTAGCTTTTCACAGTGGAAAAAAAGAGCAAGTAATGTGTACCAGTTACTAAGCCTCAAATACATAGCCTAATTTACTGCCTGGATGAGGCAAAATTTACATTATATCTGGCTTTTTGCTTTTTAATGCTCTTATCTTATTCCATGTTATGTTTCAAGGAGGTAACTTCTATATACATGATACCTATCCTTCTGTAGATATTGAAAAATACAGAGAAGTCAATGATTTTGTTATAATTTCGGGTACTTTAAGTATTTTTATGTACATCAGAAGATTTGGTACTACGCTGTCACTGTCACCTGTCTGTAAATGTAGCATAATCTTGCCTAGAAATAGCACAGATGGGCCAGATATTGTTGCTCTCACTGGCTCTAGCCTTATCAAGAAAGTCACATCACATACTAACCCTGCTTACATGAACATATCATATCTGCTTCCTTTTAAAAAGTCAGAAGCAGTATTTTGCTTTACAATCACTTTTGCCAAGAATAAATATTTTTGCAGTTGCAAATTATATTTTCACAATGGCAGCTGTGACTTTTCTTTGAATGTTTAAAGCAGTACCAGAAATGAGACAGAGAAAGAACGATGACTCTGAAAATTTAAACTCACGTGGAATAAACTTATATACTTAATGGCCATACAGTAATTCACACTTTAACAACAGAAACTGAAACACAGTATGTTGCTGCTCTTGGGGTAATCAATCAATCATTTAATTGTTTATGAAATGCACAGAAGCCCATTCCTGGCTTGAAAACAGAACCTTTTCCTTACCCTGAGAAAGTATCCCTGGTTAAGCTGCCATTGTGTCTTAGGACAGTTTTGCTTAGGTCAAAAAGCACATCATGTAAACTCTGCTCCTCGATTTTCTTTGTGGTTAGCTCAAGTATTTGTGTATTCCTCCGGAACAGTTTGCAAGCATAGCAAGTAGCTGCAGCAGTCTCCATTTTGTCTCCCGTCAGAACCCAAACTTTAATTCCAGCTTTCTGGAGTGCTTCAATTGTATCAGCAGCTTTTTCCTGTAGTCTGTAGAAGTCAATTGACAACACACATTGACAGATTGCTTGGAAATGAGAAATGCAGAGATCCTTATTGAAAGCTTTCCATAACCAAATAAAAAATGGCAATAAAAGTTATAAGAGCTAAGAATTTTTCCCTAAGTGTGAATCTAAAAGTGTCTGGAGAACTAGTAAATTATAAATAGTTTTGTCACTTTCAAAGTGCTCAAAGTTTCACTTTTCATTTACAGATCCTAAAAGACAAGATGGTTCATTCCCCAAACATTTTCAGTGCTTTCAGCTAATGATACCAAACAGGGAAGTACTGCTGAGTCATTAAATTACCTCCCAGTTTTAACAGGTTTTGAATTTTTTTTTAAGATTAAAAATTCTTCCTTCATTTCCTTAATACCCATTTTGTAGTTCTATCCTCCAAAACTTTTCATTATATGAACTGCAGGTAAATGGCTTGAAGATACCAATTTTTGTACACTTAAAAATAGTTACTAGCTTGCTAAATTATAAAGTTACCACGTGTAACTTTAGTATGCTTAGGGTATGGAATTGCTTCAAATAAAGGGTTTTTCAAATAAATCTCTAATCCAGAAAAAGTTCCAAGACAAGCTTCAACTACTTAACATCACTAAACATAAGAAATGTACTAACCGATCTTCAACAGCTGTAGCACCAAGTAAAATAAAATCTCTTTCTATCTTCTCATACACTTCTGCCAACTTCTTTTCCCGGTCCTGGAGGGCCAACTTTGCATTCTGAAGCAGCTTCTGTGCATTGCTATATTCTTCTGCTGTGAGCTTTTTATATGCAACACACAATGTTCGCAGTCCCTCCTAAAGAATGTAATCAAAAGAAACAAAATGACTCTTAGAAAACTCTTCTTAGCCTTTTTGCCAGTGTGTATGCTAGGGTATTTGAAATAATGCAGTGATTTTACTATTAACATGAAGAGTCCCACTACTCACTTCTATAGTGAAGTTGGTATAGTATAGACTAGTACAGTATAGTGTAAACTAGAGCATAGGTCAGCTTGATTCTGTGCTGCCTTGGAAGCAGTTACAACCTGAGGGACAAACCTCAGTCCTCCAGAAGAGGAGCAGTTCAGACATCCAACTGGATGTGCAAGATTACCAGGGAATGGAGAGTCAAGGTAAACGTTTCCTTCCCTATGTGTATAATTAGGCAGGATGAGTCAGAATAAATAACAATAATATAAATAGTAGCTATGCAGAGTCTGATTTTGATGTTGTGTTGCAGCAAGGACAGGGACAAAACATCACAGTGTGTTGAAAGTGAAAATCCAACTGTGCCATTTCAGTCAAGTAGAAACTAGAATTTAGCTGTGACTGTTTCAGATTAGATTGAGCTTTTGGACTATAAGATGAATAAGAAAGGGAGTATATAGACTTTGTAAGGTGGGAAAAAGCTGCTGTAACACAGAAGGGAAGTTTTCCCACCTCAAAATATATCACCTCTCAACACCACTTAACACTTCATCTTCATGACCTTTAACCCAGTAGGTCTTTGTATGGTGACTTATTACCAGACCAAGAAGTATTAAAAAAACTCCCTGACTCTTGCTGTCGATAAGGACAGGTGCCAGGTGCCTGTATCTTCTTTCAGAAGCTTCTGTATGTAGGAGACAGCCCTATTTCCAATTATCCAGGATAATGAAATAGCTGCTGGTCTGGATTCTCTCAACAGACATTGGATGGATATGATACATAAACATTTCTTTCAGTTTTATTAGCTTTCTGCACTTGTAATTATCAGATAGCTGTTTCATGCAGTAAAGCTTAGCAAAGCACTTTGACAAAGTGTTTTGAAGTTTCCCTTCAAAACAAAAGCAGGCAACACTAGGGATTTTTTCACATACCTGTAATAATACTTCAGTTTTAGTTTGAGTACTGGATGCCAGCAAATTTTATTCTATTTATAAGACTGGCAGTCATATTCCATTGCAATGGGATCTGCATATTTTCACACAGCAAATTTCAGTATTTGACAACTCCAAATACAATCTTTTAGGTAAAACCAAGGTATGAATTCAATTTGAAGATGATGAGGTAGTTCATAGCTCATTTTTAGCAGGCAAAAATGTAAGTATAAGGATGATCACTGCACTGTCTGCCCATAAGAAGTGCATTTGTTGCTACACTGTGCTCTAATGGATTTTTTCTTTTAAGGGCTTGTAAAGCAATCAAAGGCAGCAAATCAAAACAGCTAGGGCTGGGAACTGAAAGCAGAATGGGATTTTCAGAGAAGTTTTTAACTTTTCTTTCATTCAGAAGTTAATTCAAACCACCATGATGCCACATTAAAAAGCTAATTGATGATCTCTGATGTAACATACGGTTGTGCATATCTAATGCACTCGTATCTCACCACAACTGCCATTTGGAAGATGAGATGGAGGACAGATTCAAATAAGGGAGTAACACAGACTGCTACCCATACAGCCTGTGTGCACTTTGGCATAGAATAACTTATGCGCCTGGGAAGACAAATCTGTTACCAGATCAAGCAGGAGGTCAGAACACTTAATTTTATTTTCTTTTTTGACATTGCTATCACACAAACAGATCAATAAAATGGAACCTTACCACTGCATTTCGTTCAACTCTGGATCGTATTTGGTCAATTTTGCCTTCTTTAACTCTAGGAAATATGGAAGAATCTGCTCCTTTACAAAACATAAAAATATCACCTGAAAGAGAGAGCATATGGAATTCAAAATGGCCAGACACAACTGTCTTCAAAAAACCATCCAAATACTAAGTCTCCCAAAAGATTTCTTCCAGCTTTTTTATAACATTTGCACTCGTGCAGGTACCTGGTCCCCTTTTTTGTACAGAAAGGTACAGAGATTGTGATTAAAGCTTAACTCTTCGATAAACCAGAAATAAATTCAAGTGAAACAAAAACATCTAAGAAGAAACAGACTATGACAGCCCTACCTGTTGAAGATTTAACAATCACACTCATTCGCCGTCTCACAGAATCAAAACTCAAAACATCTAATAATTCAAACCTGAAACAGAAACAGAATATATTTTTAAACAACTCTGCTTTTCCAGATTCCTACACCAGTTATTGCAACTTCAAGTATATCAATTAAACTTCTAACTTCTAACATGGAAAATTGTGTTGAGTGCTATGGAATACTAAACTAGTACTGAATGAAACACCAGGTTACAAATATTAAACAGGAGAAGGCCTCAGCTCCTAATTACTTGAAACAGAAATTGTCTGCACTATGTTCATAAGTATTTTTGGATGTACAGTCAATATAATTTATTTAAGCAGAAGAAGAGAAACTCTGCAGTAGAGCACCATACTGCTTGTAAAGTAAGTAATTTTCTACCTATAATACCTAGGTGTAGCCTCAGAACTTGAAATGCATAGGTGTTTACACAGAAGTCATTATTTACTGTTCTTTTAATACTGACTATTCCCTGTCTCCCAAAAGTGCCCACTTAATTTCATGAATCTTGCTCAAGTGTTGACTGACAAGTTATTCAAGTGAAAAAACATTTCTTTTTACTGGTTTTATACTTGCCATTGTTTTTATTATTTGATTTTATCCCATGTTCCTTTCCTTTCTAGGAGGTAGAATGAACACAAGCTCCTCTTGTACTATTTCTGTATAATTCATCAATTTATATACTGTTATCATTTACTTTCTTACTCATTTCCTTTTATCTAAGAGATTCTCCCTTTCCCAGCACAAACATAAGCAATCCAATCATTAATCCTAATCTCTTCAGAATTCATCTCTGATAGTATTTTGCTTATAAAATAGAGCTTATTTAATTAGATCACTCAGTTCCAAGGCCTTACAACAGCCTGAGATTCAAACCTATGCAAAGCCACAGTGTTTTCATTAAAAGTTACAACAGATCCTAACAAGGAGATGGATCAGGTCTATGTCTACAAACTGTGATGCATTTAGGAAAAAAAATCCTAATAATTATAGCGCTTTAATAAATCACTAAATGATGCTAACTCCAGTTCTTATGAGTTGCGCCACAAAAGTCTGAAGTAACCTTTGGGGAAAATCCTCCTTATTCCCCTGAAAGGGGGAAAATAACAGCAGGGTTTCCGTATTTGTGTCCGACAGTCCCTGTGTAGTTAGCAGAGTACACAAGCAGAAAAACATAGATATACAATAGTCTTAACAGTAGGCAACTACAGAAGTATAAAGTAACATTTTCAAAAGAATGTACATCCCATTAAACAGTTCTATTACTTAAATGTTACTGATAATTTTACTCATATTATGGTTCACAAGATTTATTCTACATGTCAAAGGAAAATGACAAAAAGAGTATCTGTTTTAAATTTTATTTGAATCAGCTATATAAACTTATTCTATAGTTATTACCCTCCTGTAAACTATATGGATTATTTGTGAACAACAAATGGGGTACATACCATTTTCTATTACAAAAATATCACCTACCATATAACAAAAGAAAAATATCCACAGTTCCCAAATTTACAAGGTCACAAAACTTACACCACACCTCTGTCATTATATTAATACTCCATATTGCACATACTGTCAAATTAACAGACTAAGTCAAAATACAGAACTACAGAGTCTATTAACGTTACAAACACTAGCGGATAATTTATTTTTCTACTAAAATGTACCATTTCTGACTTTTCTGAATTAAAAAGTAATGTATAAGAACGATTTATTAAACACAGAAGTAAAATTTTCTTATGAGTCTATTTTGATATATTTTTAACCACTCACTTTTCTATGTTATTTTCTCTATTTAAGATCTCCATAAAATTGTCCTTCAGCCTTAGATAGGTGTAACCAAGTCTGTAAAATGAAACACATATCAAGAGAATGAATACAACAAATATATAATGACACAGTTTAAACATGTCATAAGCTCCCCAGGGCTCAGTTTTGGGGTCAGTCC